CGAGGTACCACGTATCCGACTTCTGCGAGCGGAGTAAAGACCCGATGAGGTTGCGAGACGATGAAATCAGAGAATCGAGATCTGTATAGGATTCTGACAACGAGGAAAGCGCAGCAGTCGATTGTTCTAACCCAACATTGTTAGCCATTACCACGACAAGTCTTTATGGTAAAGCAGCACAAACCTAGCGTTTCCTGCGCAAACTGACTCCGCGACAGCTCCGCCTGCATCAGCTGATGCGTCCGTCTCAGCGCAGCCGTAACATCATTCGAAGCATTCATAACAATATCATCCTGCGTCAACTTCTCACTCGACTGCTTCTTCCTCTCCGCACTTTGTGATCTCGTGAACAGTAGCTCTCGCTCTTTCCGTCGGGCAACTTCAGCGTTCCGTTTCGCTTGTAACTGTGCGTTCCGGAAGTCTCCTCTCGTTCTGTCATAGACATAGCACACGTATTAGTATATCATCCATTAAGAACAGATACAGAATAATAATTCACTCCACCTACCTCTTCAAATCCTCCGCCAGTCGTCCAGCCAAGGCGATGACCCGCTCCCTCTCCGACTCCTTCTCGTTATCCACACCCTTGCGCCGCGTATCTGTTGCAGTCTCTAGGGCCTCAACCTCGACCTTCAGCAACTCCAATTGCTCCTCCGCTTCCTTCAAGCGAGTATGGATTTCCGTTCCCAATTCCAATCGAGGCTGATCTCCCTGTCCAACCGCAGTCGTGAAGCCCTTTAGCCGAGAGACCAAGGGATGTATATGAGACAGAGCTGTGGAGAGCTCTTTCAAACGAGCTTGTAGATCGGTGATGCCGGACATTTTGCGTGTGCGATGAAGTAAAAGTAGTAGTAGATATCGCAGGAAAAGTACAATATTTATACAAGAAAGCGCCTCACTACAGCATCCACAAAAGCCTAACCCCCAAACAAATCAAGACACCGAAGAAGAAAAGGCAGGTGAGATTCAAGAGGGGGAAAAGGCGGAGATGGCCAATGTGTCCGCAACTTACTTTACAGCGTCATCGCGCCCGTTCCTGAGGCCGCCGCCGCCGATCTACCTCCCGTACCACAGCACATGTTTGCATATGAGACAAACACCACCCAGCGAGCGACCGACCGCGCGCTGCGCATCCCGGAGAGCGGACGGATTTGAAGATAGTTGAAGTTATCCGTGAAGGGTGATTATTTTCTCCGCTCGATTCCCTAGAAATCATACACCACACCACGCAATTGCCTCAATCACACAGTCAAGCTCAATTGCCTTGACTCATACAACACATACCAACCTTTCTACATCTCCCAATACCAACAAGGTACGTCTCCCAAACCCCATCAAAAACCACATAAACTAACAATTCAAAGAAAAAAAGACCTTCCAACTCTCCACAAAACCACCGCCAAAATGACCATCCCTCTGTCAACAATCTCCACCTTCCGCACAACTTTCAACCCTTTCCTTCGCTCCGCCCGCCCCTGCAGACTCATCCTCTCTCTCCTCCGCAATCCCACGACCACGCCGGCCTCCAGCCCCGGCCACATTGACATCAAGGTCACTCAGCTGCCGCGGTCGTCGACGCAAGAGCCCGAGTTGACGATAGGGTTCAAGAATGGCAAGGAGTTGAAGATTGAGGTTGGAAAGCGCCAGATGAAGATTGGGGATGTGGTTGAGGAGATTGCTCGTGTTGGGAGAGCTATTGAGCGTGAGGAGGCGCTGAAGTCTTAGGTTATCTTTTTTTTGTTTTCGATGTTTGTTCTATGAGGTTTGCATTGATTGGGTGGTCGTGCTCGCATCGGCATGAATGGGAGAGGTTTTTCGTCGTGGCGCGGATAGTTCCCTTGTCTGTCTAGTCTATCCTGTCTACTCGGGATTGGATGAGAGGTTGCGCACTATGACTGGGGCTTTCAGGACCGAAGGGGTGATCATGCCGGTCTGTTTGTACTTTGTACTATCATGTTCTGTATGTGTATGTGTATATATTAGCCATTGAGTGATACTCCATTTCTTATAGTGCTGGTTTCAGATGCTGTTTTGGTAGTAGATTGGAAGAGCCAAATAGTGCTTACATGTTAACCGAATACGGTACCAGATTTGTCTGACTATAATTACGATATACTACGATGAAGAGAACAATATTGCACTTCTGTAAGATTTCCCTCTTGGGAATGTGGTATTGTGGTATTTAAATTTTGTTATATAGGTACATTTAGACAGCGGCACCGGAGATGAAGAACCACTTGTCAACGCTGCCGTCAATGGGGGCAGGGGGGAGGTTCTCGCCCTTGGGGATGGCAGCGAGCTGAGCAGCGTCAGCACGCTCGGCACCCTCGACGGTGGTGGTAGCACTAATTGCAATTAGTATATTATCTTCCTCACTCAGGACTCAAGGATACTTACACGCTGATCTCACCACGAGGAGACTTGCCGGAGATGAGCTTCTCCCAGGCGTCAGCGCACTCGCGGATGACATCAAGAGCGTACCTATGGGTTGAACTGTTAGCCTGGATACATAACAAAAGGCACCGTCAGCACGTACTTCTTGTTCTTGCACTCGCCGGAGAAAGCGAACTGGTTCTCGGGCTTTCCGTCGGGGATCTTGTAGATACGGAACCACTCGTTGGTGGCGCGGAGAAGGCCAGGGAGGTGGCGCTCAACATCCTCAACGTCGTTGAGCTTAGGGGCCAGGGGGTCGTTGACGTCGATGACAATGACCTTCCAGTCGGTCTCCTCCTCATCGAGAAGAGCCATCACACCGAGGACCTTAACCTGCTTGACCTGACCGGGGTAGCCGACGAGCTCACCGATCTCGCAAACGTCGAGCGGGTCGTTGTCACCCTTGGCCTTGGTCTCGGGGTGGACGGTGTTGGGGTCTTCCCAGGTCTATGTCAAAGGTCAGTGCGGGGTGGTACAGAATTTGACGTGGCGTTCTTTTCCATACCTGGGGGAAGGCACCGTAGTTCCAGAGGTAACCCTTGTGGGGGAAGCAGTTGCGGACGTAGCGGAGCTTGCCCTTCTTCACATCCTGCTTGATGGGGTTGAGGAACTCCTCCTTGGAGATCTGGGTCGCAAAATCAGTATACCGACGTCAAGCTACAGCGTAGCCCCCCACTTGCAGGGGGGGTGTTGTTGTGTGTATATTGTGGCGTCCGTACCTCCTGCTTGGCGTTGGTCCAGCGGGGGATCTCAACGACCATGTTGAGGATGGTCTGCTGCTCGTTGGCATAGAGGGGGATGTCGTGGAAGGGAGAGACGGGCTGGCCATCCTTCTCAATGTAAACACGGTGCTCCAGGGTGTTGGCCTGGCCGATCTTGCGGACGGTGTAGGACATGGTGGGCGATTGCGGCGGGGCAGCGGAGGTGGAAAAGTGTTTGGATAAAAGGGCAGCACGAGATGAAGCGGACGAAACCGAACGATCAACTCGGGAGGAGGAAGAGGGAGACAAAGCTGTAGCAGAAAGAGAAGAAGAGGAAGAAAGAGGAGGGGAGGGAGAGGAAGAGAGAGAGGGAGGAGGGGGGGCTTGCTTGGTGGGGGGAGCCAGCGTTGCGGATGTGCGAAGGACGGGCGAACAGCCAGTACGCGCGAGGATCGGACAGGCGGTGGGTGGCCGGCTCAATGGATTCGAATTCAATGCGCGGCCTCCAACTTGGACTCCCTTGGATACCCTACGGACCCCCGGGAACATTGAAAATGGCTTTGAGGCTATGCCCGTGTTGAATTGGTTCAATTGACAACCGGACAAGGCGGGAATTCGTTCTCGTTGTCCACGGCGAGGTATAAAAAGGGATGGGAATCGATGGAACTGCCACGGTCGGGAAGGAAAATCGGTCGGGAAAAAAGACCCAGCCTCGGGTTCTACTATTCCTTTTTCTTCCTTTTTCCTCATGTAATAATTCTGGACTACTATCTGTTCAGCCCGTCCCTAAGTGTGTCTTCAGTACGAAGTATCTGATGGCTATAGCGAAGGGGAAGCTATTCACATCCCTTCTCCCAAGTCATACATGACCAGGCAATATACGTACTCTTTCCCAACTCTAGTTCCAACTAGTCATCAACCTGCTCCCACCCTCCATACCTGGCTGGATGCCCACCAACTCTGAGACTTTCGCCGCAGAATGACTGGTCCTGGATGGGTCTCCACCGCTGATGGCGTTCCACAGGCCTGGCTTGTGCTGTCCCTGAATGGTCTGACTGGTGGGATATTGCGACATTCGTGGTCCCAAGAATCCAGTAGCCAACCGGAGACCTTGCGATGGACTGACTGGTAGACTACTAAGTAGTAAGTACTGTAGCCAAAGTTGATGACTGAGGTTGTGCAATTTATACACTCCAGACTGTAGATCACCTTCCACTACACACGTACAGAGTGTATGCAGGATCGTCTATGAAGGCAGTTGAATCTGTCAAATCTCTCACTGTCATCGACACTCAGCATATCTCTGCGAGCTCGAATACCTGTCATGTTCACGGCTTGGCAGGTACCCGGACGGAGAGAAGACATGCGAAGTAACAATCCATTGTAACCTCACCAGAACCGATCAGGCAAATCGCCATGTGATCAGAAGTGACGGGAACAACCAGAGCCATGGATATATCTAGAGCTCAGTCTACACTACCAGGGGCCGCAATGAGGTTGTGGCTACTTCCTAAAGGGGTAATATTGCAATTATCTCCACTGCAAAGGCTCGATCAAACCCTTTCGATATAGGTCACATGATATCGACCTATAGCGTTTGAAGTATACCATGGCGTAATTGGCATTTTATCTGTATCTAGTATAATATATCTCATCAGAAGCTGATAGTGAGACTCGTAAGCCTTGAATCAGGCGCACTTCCAGCCATCGCCTCTACACTCCGCTCCCATCTGTTCCCCGTAGTGCTCTGGTAAAGATCACATGACTTGGCAGGGGAAGAAAAATGTTATCGGGTATCGCCACGTGACCCGGCATTTTTCGTCTCCGCCTCCACCGGCTTTAATCCATCAGCGATCTAGGATGCGACTCGATCCATAAAATCACTCTACTACACTCTTACAGGCTCATACCGCTCACACAGCTCGTTCATCTCCCACACTACACTATCCTTACTCCCGTTAACCCGATAATGCTATGCTAAGATTCCTCCGCACCGCAATGGCTTCTCTCACCACTCCTCTCCGCGTCCCCATCCCCGCCAACGGGGTCGACTACCGTGGCAAAGTAGTCCTGGCCCCCATGGTGCGCTCCGGCGAATTGCCCTCCCGCCTCATCGCCCTCAAGTACGGCGCTGATCTCGTTTGGGGCCCCGAAACCATCGACCGGGCCATGGCAGGCGCCGTCCGCCGCGTGAACCCCCGCAACGGCACTATCGAATTCACCCGCATGCCCTCCAACGGTGGCCGCACCGAAAAGGCAGGCCAAGAATCCGTGATTTACCGTCTCGACCCCGTCCGCGAGAAGGGCAAGCTCATCTATCAAATCGGCACTGCCACGCCTGAAATCGCCGTCGAAGCAGCCAAACTTGTCGCGGGCGATGTCGCCGGTATTGATGTGAACTCGGGATGTCCGAAGCCCTTCAGCACGAGCGGTGGTATGGGTGCGGCGCTTCTCAAGACACCGGATAAATTGGTTGCGATCCTGGAAGCCCTGGTGAAGGAGGTCGGGACGCCGTTCCAGATCGGTATTTCGGTCAAGATCCGCATCTTGAAAGATCCGGAGGAGACAAGGGCTTTGGTGTCGCGGCTTGTGAAGACAGGTATTACAGGCTTGACGGTGCATTGTCGGACTCCGCCCATGAGGCCCCGTGAACGCGCTATCCGTGATCAGGTGCGCATGATTGCCGACATCTGTCATGAGGCTGGTGTCGCCTGTGTCATAAACGGTGATGTAACCTCCAAAGACGAAGGCCACGCCTTGATGAAAGAATTCGGCGTCGACGGCGCCATGATCGCCACATCCGCAGAAGCAAACCCATCCTGCTTCCGTACCGAAGCTGAGGGCGGCCTTCTCCCTTGGAAGGAGGTCGTTCACGAATACATCAAGTTCTGTCTCGAGTCCGAGAACCGCTTCGGCAACTCCAAATATCTCCTTAACATCCTCGTCCCCGGCAAGCTCCAGGAAGGCAAGAACGCTAAGGCAGCCAGATCCTACGCCGACACATGCCATGCCCTCGGCTTCGAGGACCTCCTTCCCCTCGCCATGCAGGTGGACGACATCCTCAACCTCACCGACAAGTCAGTTACCACCAAAGACCTCCAGCCCGAACACATCCGCAGCAAGGCTGTCCAGAACGCCATGGAGAACAACGAATCCGCACGGGCTGCTGGCGGTGCCTCTCGCGTCAAGTCTACCTCCCCCGCAGTCAGCGCAGGCGGGCCCATTCGCACCAACTCCATCCCAGCTCCTACGAAGACCAAGGCTGAGGCGGAGACCCAGGCTGATGTCTCTGTTCCGGTCCCTGATGCTGCGCCCCAAAAGCAGGAGCTGACAGCTTAACTCTTACCTGATGCCTCTGCATCCCCTTGCTTCCTTGTCTTGCCTTTCTTCCCCTGCCTTTTTTTGGTTTCCAAGCTACTATCGCATTATCTGGTGTTGTATATCGGTTCCCCCATTTGCTGCATTTTAATTAGATTCCCACGGTGTGTTGTTAATAGAGGCTCTCGTGTTCTAGGGATTATACATAACATAGTACTACACGAATATATACGATACGAATGAAAAATTACTAGTTAGTCATTGTCTAGTAGCTGCCCAGCCTTAACTAGTAGTCCGCTTAATATATGCTCGGATACAATACACACTAAACAGTACCCCAGAAAAAAGCACAATACACCCGATCCTTCGATCAATCAATCAATCGATATATTACTAGTATCAACGCCCACCTATATATGTAGTATGTAGTAGTATGCGTATTGAAGCCAACCACCGAGACACGGGAAACGTAATGACACAAAAGAACCCCAACTCCTTTTCTATTATCGAACAGTAGAAGAAAAGATGAGAAACCAAGACCCAATAGAGAAGAAAACCCACTTCCTCAGCCCACAAAACCGAAATGTTCGGTGAAACTAAACTACTAGCAAAACAACATCTCCGGCATCTGTTCCGCGTCGTGTAGGTATGTATGTGTGTGTAAGCACTGCCACTCTCTGTGGTGATGCTGTAATGTAAGTGTGTGTATGCGTTAGATAGGTAGGTAGGTGGAAAAGGCCGCTGGGAAACACAAGGTAACGGTCACATGCGAGCAAGCATGAGTTTATCAATCGCTGGTGTATCGTGTATTAGACGGAGGGGATGGAGAACGAAAAGTTGTAGGTTGGATGAAAACAAGACAGAAGATAAAATGAAACAAGATTGCGCCGGTACATGTTTTAAGCTACCATATAGCGTAGCAAGAGTACAAAATAATGTGTCACGTTTATGCGTCATCGGATTTATCGTGCTGCATGTCCGCAAGAACCATATCCTCGACCACTTTCATGCCTGCATCTTCGGCCTTCTTAGACTCGGCGCCTTCTTCACCGGCCACGGCTTGGTCGAGCGCAAGCTTGGTCTGTCCGAGAGCGTAGATTTGCTCTTCAATGGTTCCCTTTGTCACAAGGCGAATGACTTCCACTTCACGGGTTTGGCCAACACGGTGGGCGCGGTTCTCGGCCTGGACGTCCTCCTGGGGGTTGAAACTGGAGTCGAAGATGATGACTTTGTTGGCGCAGGCCAAGTTAATGCCTGCACCACCCGCTTTGGTGGAAAGGAGGAAGACGGGAATTTCGGTGCGCTCGTGGAACGCGTCCAGGATGGACTGGCGGTCTTCGACGTTTGTCCTGCCGTCCAGTCGAACGAAGCCGATGTGCTGGTTTTCGAGGACGTGTTCGAGGATATCCATGACCAGCGTGAACTGAGAGAAGACCAAAGCACGGTCGCCGTTCTCCTTGAACCGCTTCAGAAGGTCACAAAGTTTGTCTACTTTGCCAGAGTCCATCCATTCGTTGTTCTTCAAAGCGAACCTGCCCAGAGAGTGAGGATGGTCCACACACATGGTGTGGCACTCGAAGTCGTTATATGCTTGGAGTTCCTCGTAGATGATATCCGGGTTTGATAGAGACCATTGCTCCTCCTTGAGACACGCCTTGGCCATGCGGCTCAGAGTGGAGTTATCATAGTGGCGCCTGTATAGCAGGGGATGGATGGCGGCTTGTCGGAGCTTCATTAGGATGTTGGCAGACTTGTTGCCGGTCTTCTTTCCAGCGGCTCGGTCAGCCAACAGCTTACGGACCTCCTCTTTCTCGTGCTCATAGATTTCGCGTTGCGCGAGGTTCATCTCGCAATACTCAACATGCGAGATCTTTGCAGGCAAGTCAATGACTTGGTGCTTCTTACGTCGCAGGACGAAAGGCTTCAGCATGGACTTTGCGCGTTCAATCCGTTGCGCGGAAAGGAGAGCCGAATGCGATTCATCCACGGTCTTTGCTTTGTTCGCAAAGATGTACTGAAGCTCCTCCTTGCGCTCCTGGAACACCTTCGGAAGGATGAAGCCCAGCAACGAGGCCAACTCCTGCAGGTTGTTCTGCAACGGCGTACCTGTCAAAAGAAGTCTGAAACGGGCAGGGATCCTGATAAGCTTCTCGTAGAGCACCGATGTGCTGCTCTTCAGCATGTGTCCCTCATCATAGACGCAGACACAGAAGTCCATATTGCGGAGGAAGTGGGCATCCACCTTGCCCTTGGCGATCGTGTAAGTGGTGATGATAACATTGATACTATCTCGGTTGTCTTCAATCGTTTCTCGGATGACTGCCCGCTCTGCCTGACCAGCGTAGTAAGGCATGACGGAGAGCGTGGGACAGAACTTCGAGAACTCTCTGAGCCAATTTTCGATCGTAGACGAGGGCACAACAACGAGATGAGGACCCTTGATTCCCTTCTCGAACAAGTGCGCCAAGAAGGCAATGACCTGGCAGGTCTTTCCAAGACCCATGTCGTCGGCCAGGATGCAACTCAATTGGTTCTCAAATAGGAGAGACAGCCAATTGATTCCCACGATCTGGTAATCTTTCATCTTCAAATCATCGCGCATGATCCCGGGCTGAGAGATGAAACGGCCTTTGCGCGGTCCAGGCGCGGGTCCGTCACTATCCTCATCCGAGGGCTGGCTAGCGGGTGTTCCTATCCCGGAATCATGAGACTGAGAGTGGGCATCTCTGGGATTGATGGATACCAGCTCCAGTTCTCCCTCTTTCTTTCCGAAGATGTCCACACCCCATCTTTTCATCTCCGCCGCGACTGGCTTGCCGAGCGCTTCGCATTTTGCAACCAAAGAATCCACCGCCTCGTAACCAACCCACATGTCAATGCACTTGTCGACAATCTTGTCGCCGATCGGCTTTGGCGTTTTACGGCCACGGCCGCCCTTGGGCTTCGTCTCTTCCTTCGCCGGGGGAGGAACAGCACGGGCTCGGTCTAGCGATGAGAATGGTCGGAAGGATATGACGTGCTTCGCAACGTCTTCAGTGATTGCGGCGATGTCGGCAAGGTCCAGGACACTGCATTTGTTGAAGAAGTTCAAGACTCTTGTCTCCACTTGACCATCCCCTGCTGGTTCCTCCACGCCGGAATCGGAATCCTCGTCTGATATTATCATAGCCTCAGGGGACTCGGAGCGTTGAGGGGATGCAGGCTTTCGCCCTTGGACCAGACGGCCAGTCTTCTTGGGCGGCGTCTCAACACGAGGCACAGAACGAACCGGACTAGGGGAAGACGCCCGAGACTTGGGCCCTCTCATTAAGCGCCTGCGCGGTTTCGCGTCCTCCTCCGCTGGTTGTGACGGTTGCGATTGTTGCTTCTGGGCCGACAATGTCCTCTGCATGTTCATGGCAGACCACTTGTCTTGAATAGTTCCACGCGCCTTAATCTGCTGCTTCGCGGGCGCAACAGGGGAGGCCCGCTTGCTCGCAATCAGCTCGTCCTCGGAAGATTCAGCCTTCTCCGTATCAGCCAAGTGCTCCAGGGCAGCCTCGTAGTTCCCACGTTTTGAGAGAAGCGCCTGCATGCATGCATGCACAGACTTCTGCGGCATGACCTTCAACATCCTCTCCACCTTAACTCTAACTTGATAGTCATCTATGTCCTGCAGCGAAGAAACATTCGTACCCACAGGCTGGGCACGCGAGGGGCCATCCTGTCGAACCTTCTTCACGGCCGTGCCTCTGGGAGCGGGGTCCATTTGAGCTGCCGGGCGCTTGGCACTAGAAGGGTTGAAGACTGCGGATGTGGTAATCTGCTTGAACCGATCCATCGGAGACTCCGCGACCTTTTCAGGGCTGCGCGACGATTTGGCGAACAAAGAGGGCTTGATATCTATGCTTCTCGACGCTCGGTCGTCATCATCAGACGAGCCGCCGCGATAGGTCGGGCCGTCATCTTCGAGGTCTATTATGGGCGCACGCTTAGCCGGACCGACAGGAGGGCGAAAGCTGGTGCCAGCCGGGGCCATGGCACTGGAAAGACGACCGCCGTTCGGAGTAGGATGAGAGGGGGAGGAATTCGGACCTGGAGGAGAAGATGCGGCGACCTGAACGAAGGAATTGTTCTTTCCGGAGTAGGGAACGTCCAACACTTGCGTAGGCTGAGTGTAGCGCTGGGTGGCAGGGGTCGAGGATTGAGTTGCGAGTGGCTGGAGATGGCTGACAGGCACGGTGGCAACCGTCTCATATTCTGCTGCATCATCCTTGGTTGGGGTACTGTGAACGACTTTCTTGTCGCTCACGGGCGTATCGGGGACGGTGTCTTCCATGGTCGGTGACTTAAGATTATCAAAGGGAGAAAGGCAGACGAGAGGATGGCGTCATGCCCCGGGGCAAGAGCCAAAGGAAGCACCGAATTGGGGGAACTTGAAAGGAAGATGTCAAGATCGATCGGGGATCCTCTCGAGGCGAAACGATAAATCGACCGCCTGGGATTTTCTCCGCAAAACGCGCCCGGGACGCGCTGGGGTCACGTGGTCTGGCGCTTCAATTAAAGCCGAGGATGGCAGTTGGACGCCAACCCCCTCTTGAATCGGGGGGATCAGAGCTCCCTCTTTATATGATTCACCGGTACAAGGCTGGTCTCTTCACTAAGGCGATCCTCTTTCCACCGTCTTTGCCTTTTCTTTTGTCACTAAAAACGCAGCCAGATGTCCCCTCTTACAAATGGACCAATCACAGGCCGGCATGGCCTGAACTCCGGAATGAAATCATCCGCTGTATAAAACAATCCATGTCTCTCTACATATTTCAAATCCCATCCAGACGAACAGTGTACTCGAGAGAATACTATATATCTTTTTAAATAGGATAGGCGAAGCTGTACTTGTCATCACCACTTATATCCTGATCCCTTTTTTGTCGATCATCCTCCGGCTTTCACGCATTCGTCCCCGGAAAATCAACACCCAACATCAAACCTGTCAACACCACAACCGAATACCATCATCAACATGGCCACTCGTCGCTCCGCAGAGAAATCTCCTTCTCCCAAGGAAGTTGTCGCATCTTCGGGCTCTCCAAAGCCCTCTGACTCAGATGTGACCCCTGCCGTTCCCACGTAAGTGCATCTCATTCGTCCCTCACCAACGAACACTAGGCCACATGGCGGCTATTTTGAACTACCGGTTCAGCCCAACGAACGCATACACCTTATCAATACATATTACGCACATACCACCCCCTCCCCTAACTCTAACTAACACATCACCTTCAGAAATGTGATCATGAAACTTCTCGGATTTTCCTTCGCCATGGTCGTCATTCCTATCGGGATGTACTTTGTTACGGTGGACTTTGGAGGTGAGCATCCCAATTACACCACACTTACTAACTATCTTCATGTCGATTAACACTTTGGAACAGCAAGCCCCACAGTCGGCGGTATTGTGGCCGCCATCATGGCTAACGTAGTTCTCGTCGCATACATCTATGTTGCGTGGAAGGATGATCAGGCGGAGAGGGAAGCTGACGCCAAGTATAAGGAGAAAAAGGCACAGTAATTGGTACAGCCACTCTGTCTTGTTGTCTTTGTTGTTTTCCTTTCATTTTATTCATGGCTCTGGGGGCCCCTGTATTGCAGAGATGGCGTTCATGGATCGCTCTGTTTTCGCATGCTAGGTATGTACTTGTCGTATCGTTTGTCTTGAAAGCTATGTTGGGATAGTATGTATGTAATGGTCTAGGGAAATACTCTGAGTGTTATGATACCTTTCAGGTTACTGGTTGTGTGATTGGTCACGGTTTCCTCAAAGCATACTACTATGCGAACAATAAGGCAGATAACACACAGCCTGAGTGAATGCCTCCTATCTGATTTCAACAGTAAGATGAGCCATCCTGGCGAGTAATATGTTCAATTTAAATTACATATCTGCGCCTTGAGATGCACGACATCAACAGCAGATCCGCAGCAAGCGTTCCATTATATAATGCAAAGTATGAACAAAAAAGAAGCCCAGAAAACCCATAATATGCAATCATGCAACCACTTAATTCGGTCTCCGCTTCACGAACTCAGCCAAATCCGCCTTTGTCGCAACACCCAGTACGAACTTGCGCGACACATCCGTAACTACTGCGAAATCCTGCTTAGCCCTCTTCTCTCCACTAGGACCGGTTTCACTCTCGAAGAACTGCTCCAGCTCCTCCAGCGGTGTCTCCATCGTGATGACCTGGTATGTGCCCTTCTTGCGGTTGAATCGCTGCATGGCGGCAGAGACGGGGTCGTTTTCCTTGACGGTGCCGTCCTTGAGAAGCTCCTTTAGTCGGGGGATGCTCAGGTATCCGACCAGAGAGCGTTTCGTCGAGGAGGTAACGGTCAGGTGTGTGTAGTCACGTTCGTAAGCGGCCATCAGGGCAGTGGAGATCAGGTCGTCGGGGGATACGGATAGGGCTGGGTTGGGGTCCAGGTCCTCTACCGTCGCCTAGTATGCCGGTGGTATGTTAGTTATTTTGTTTCTGTTGACTCTTGCGGAACATCACTGGTAAGAAGAGGGCGGACTCACCCCGCGGTACTTGTTTGCCCATGCGGACTGGGCGATGGGCTGCTCTGCATTTTGTGCGAGTTGTTGCTGGGTCAGCGCCTCACTGGCGTTCATATAGGAGGCCATGTTCCTTGGGTTGGTATGTTGGGGTTGTGTTGGTGACGGTGGTGGTAGTGGGAGTGTTGGTGATCAACTTCTCCCGCAGTGACTCGATGAGGGGCACGGGAGGGAAGGTTCCGAGAGGACGGTCAATTGGAGATCCTTGAAGTTGTCGAGATAGCTTGTGAGGGTTGCGCTCAGTAGTTTAAACACTAATTTTTGCGGAAAGCAAGTGTTTCAAAGAAATAGAGAGCCGGATTACTGAGTTACAACCAAAAAGCATCAAGCACAGGTTGAGGTTGCTCCAATCAGATTAAATTTCATCGCTTCAGATCAACCAGTTGGCGGGAATCCCCGAATGCGGTTAGTGCCATCACGCGACGTCAGCGGCACCATCACCAACTGTCAGATACCACTCAGAAGGTTCCTTCGCTTCCTCTCTCTGGAGAATCCTCTTTCGTTGGATTCAGGCTGTCTTCTGAATTCTGCGTCGATTTCTTCAATCGAAGAATACGAGACTAGGTGTGGACCTCCGTTCTATACATCGTCATCCGTCCGACTATACTACCGACATAGTGTTGTAAGTGGACCCGCTTGTATAGATAAGGAACCATCGCGGTGCAGTATCGGCATTATACTTTATCGCAACCTGTTTAGAATCGCTTTAACGCAGATTATAACAATTATAGGTAGAAGCGCCCATCATGTTTCCTTCTGAAGGGGATATCGCTCGCGCCTTCGCCTCCAAAAGCCCTTTGGGCCAGTCTCAGCAGGCCCAACAGCCGGAAGCTGCGGGCTTGAAGAGACGCCAGCCGTTCCCCGCCTGGAACGTTGTCGAGGACATCGAAAAGAAGGCCGATGCTATCGCTAAGGAAGCGAGCCGAGAGTTCGAAGTTGCGAGTCAGAAAGCTCAAGCCAAAACCGGCAAGATCGAGCCATGGACTCCCAAGTACTATGCTGCTTGCACGGTTGGAGGAATGCTTGCTTGCGTAAGTAGATGTTCCATTCTGCTAATGAGCGCTGTATAGTGACCTATGAATACTAATTCTTGGCTGGTCCTAGGGTCTCACCCACACCGCTGTGACGCCTCTTGATTTGATCAAATGCCGCCGTCAGGTCGATCCTCTGCTGTACAAGAGTAATGCAGAGGCATTCCGTACAATTCGCGGTGCAGAGGGTCTCCGCGGAGTTTTCACCGGTTGGGGTCCCACTTTTTTTGGATACAGTGTAAGTCAAGACTGGATCGCATGTGTTGCGCCTTCTAATTAAGTACAAGGCCCAAGGAGCGTTCAAATATGGTGGTTATGAGTTCTTCAAGAAGTTTTACAGCGACCTTGTCGGGGCTGAGAACGCAGCACGGTGGAAGACTTCTCTGTACTTGACCGCCAGTGCGTCGGCGGAGCTTATCGCTGATGTCGCCCTGTGTCCGTTCGAGGCCGTCAAGGTGCGCATGCAGACGACTATCCCACCTGATATTCGATCAACATTTACTGGTATCTCTAGCGTGGTTAATAAGGAAGGTGTGGCCGGGTAAGTGCTGCTAATGCGAGCAGTCGATCCCTAGTAGCTGACTGCAGCAGCCTGTACAAGGGTCTCTACCCTCTCTGGGGTCGACAGATCCCTTACACCATGATGAAGTTTGCGTCTTTCGAAACGATTGTCGAGATGATCTATAACTCCCTGCCGGGTCAAAAGTCTGACTACAACAAGGGTGCGCAGACCGCCGTTGCCTTCACCGGTGGTTACCTGGCTGGTATCCTTTGCGCCGTCGTGTCGCACCCAGCAGATGTCATGGTCAGTAAGTTAAATGCGAACCGTCAGGCCGGAGAGGCATTTGGAGCAGCGATGAGCCGGATCTACAAGGACATTGGCTTTGGAGGTCTCTGGAATGGTCTTCCCGTCCGTATCGTCATGATCGGCACCTTGGTAAGTGCATCGGTATCTGTTTCTCAGATCATGACTGACTTGTTATCTCCTCTAGACTGGACTGCAGTGGATGATGTATGTGTTACTTCAGATCTCCAGTATGCGCCTCTCAATAGACAGCAGCTGACGTTTTGCAGTTACGATTCGTTCAAGATCTTCATGGGTCTTCCCACGACTGGCGGTGGCCCTCCTGCAGAGAAGAAGTAATATGGAAATGATTGTCCCGCCGGGAGCTTAGATCCTTGTCTAACACGAAGGGCCGGACACTCTGTAGAATGTAGAATACAGTGGCCGTAGTATCGAGGCGGGGTGCGGGGTTGTACCGTACCTGATTTCGTGCAGCTTTCTTCCGATTTAATTGAGTGGGTAATTTACTTACTAGTTTTCTTCGTGCAATGGTGAACCACTTTTGTCTTTTCATGAACCACATTTAATTGAACCCTGAGCCGAGGCCGGTGATAAAAGCAGCTGAACTGATAACCCTTAACTGGTAGAGATAACATGAAGCTACTCATTTCTTAGTAAACAATTGGCGGGCCCCAAAGTCGTTAGTCACGCCTCGGACCAATCCGGACAAGCATCTTATCAGCGCATCGACGTCATCGGACGCCGTCCCGATCGTTTCCTTCTTTTGGTTCCTTCGATAACAATCATTCATCTAGAATTATCCCGATAACGATATATACTGAATTAGCTACTAGACTAGAACTTCCGGCAAATTTAACTTTGACTGCCAGGGCGCACCCTCTGGCTTGGCCCGCTGTGGCAGTGATTGCGCCCAAGAAAGCGCTAAGGTAGTCACGCTACACCCTACTAACCCCTGTGGTACATAATATATCTATACGAACCATCCCCGGGAACCGCCACTTTGCGGTCTTTCTCTTTTTCCACTTGACTGTCTGACTAGACTTGGTACACACACACGCTTGTCGCAGACTCTTGGTTACAGCGCTCTTATCATCGCATTGAATCACTACATCAATTCAATAGACAACACCACTTGAATAAAATCTACTACTCACCCTAACTACTGCATCATGGGCGAACACGAACCTATTGTGTCGCACGGCCGTGGAGGTGCGCATCCCAGCTCCCTCAAACCACTGCATTAACTCATCTCTAACATTCACTCCCCAAACAAAACAGGCCAAGGAAACATTGGCGCCGACTCCACCGAGTATGCACCACACCCATTCACTCATCCCCCAAACACCCCACCACCACAAAACCCGAATACTAATATACATGAATATGAAGATACGTCGATGGCGGCATAGTCCGCGAAGGAGTCTACGGTGACCAAGGCGACGGCGCCTACTCAGCCGGCGTAAGCCATCCCCACCATACATCAATCCATCCTACTTACCAAACCGCCAATCACTATAACTAACAATTCTCATATAAAGAGAGGCGGCGCCGGCAACATCGGCTCCCCGCACGTGCGCCCAACATCCAAGATCCCACACGACGCGGAGATAGTTCCCGAGTTAGCGATTCGGCAGTCTGTCGATGGGGATTATCATACTGGGGTATGTTAAATATTCCTTTCATTATTCTTCCTCTATCGATTTATGCAGGGAATGAATGCTAATGAGTGGTGATGGTGGTGGTGCGATAGCGCGGCGGCCAAGGTAACGTGCACCTCGACGAAGAACATAAGAAGGAAAAGGAGGAGAAGAAGCATAAGGGGCCTGCGCATGAGGGGTTGGCGGATAAGTTGAAGCATAAGTTGTTTGGGAGGAAGTAGATCATCTTTTTCTTCTTTCACTCTTGGGATTGGATGGGTGGTAGATGGTTGGTTGGTTGGTTGGTTGTTGATGAGATGGGAGGAGATGAGGGTGATGGGATGGGGAAGGGGTGTTCTATTGTTATTGTTGTTGCGTTTGATTTGAGATTCCCTGTTGCTTGTTTTGTTTCATGCTGCTGATTGCTAGAAGTAATACATCTTTCTTTGGTTCTTCTATGATGTGGGTCTTTTTCCTTTTCTTTCCTTTTGTCTCAATGGGGCTGGCTTTCTCAAATTACTGGAAAGTGTTCTGACTGACTAGTACGATATGATATACACGGGCCATTACTGAGTATCTATTCAGTATTGGACAGCAAGTAGGAAGGTATTTATCACCCTAGTCCAGTCACACTACCGTACCATTACTCACAACTTCACCCGTATCAATCAACATCATACTGGCTAGTATCTCATGCACTGTCATGGCAGAGAAATAAAAGGTAAGGAGGAACAGGAAAAAAAAGGCATCCATGTATCATGGTCTCGTCAACCGCATGCAAAGATGAAAGAGTAAAATAAAGTTGCAATCGAATCCAAACCCGATACAGTCCGTCCCGAAATCCCAGTTGCTGTGCTTGAACATGACTCTTGAACGCCGCGGAGATAGTACACCCAGACAAATCGGATCAGAAAACACGCATCGAATAGTAAGTGTAAGGTAAGAAAAAGTGAGGAGCCGGCTCACAGACGACTAGTTCTTGCTGAAACGACGCTTGAACCAGCCCTTTTTCTTCGAGTCGTTGCTCATTTCAGAGTCATTCGTAGCCTTGCGGAGATGGCGCCGGTTGGCTGTGGCAGCGACGGCGGCACCGCCGCCAACAGGGCCACCGGCGTTAGGGTCAGCCGCTGGTGGTTTGCTGCCAAAGTTAATCCGTCCCCCAGCGCCAGCTTGTCCGTTCAGATTCGGCCCGGCACCAAATCCTTGGAACCCATAGTTTTCGGCCATCTGCTGCTGCTGCTGCTGCTGTTGCTGCTGTTGTTGGAACTGATCGATAGAGCTATTCACAGAGCTGGGGTCGGTGGAGTTGCCGTAAGCGTCGGTGTTGCTGCCAGAGCCCGAGCCAGACGCTGCGGTCATGTTGTCATATGATTTGTGATAGCCGTGTTGTGAATATCCACTTTGGTCGGTGTTCATCCGTGCATGGTGGCGTGGTCGCGGTCGGCCGCCGCCCTGATTGTAGGGGTAATAGTTGTCGGACTGGCCGTTACCATTCTCGACATAGCTGTCCGGTCGCGAATAGGCCCCGCGACCATTGTAATGGCCGCCCTGATCATAGTGACCCCGGTGCGAATGGCCGTTTTGAGCTATACCAATCCTTCAATTAGCGAGACGTTCTCTCTCGAATGTTACAATAGACATTGCGACTGTATCCCAAGACGCAATACTTGTGGGATTGAGAAATACCTCCAAAGTAGCTTCCTCGCCGACTATGGTCTGGCCCCGGAGTTGCAGGAGTCGATTCTGTAATGCATCGTCAATCAACCGCCGGGTTGAGCAAACCGGCGTAAGGGGTGACTCACCTGTCCTTACATACGAAGCAGGTCTACTGCTGTATGTCCCATAAATTGCCGCCTCAAAAGATCGGATGGTTTCAAGCGGACGTTCAAAGCGCGGGCGCGTGGGGTTAGAGAGATCGGGATCAGCTGTGAGAGAAGAGGAGAGCAATCAGCGAGATGTCACCCAGGATATTTGTCCAAACAGGGAAGTATGGTATACGAACTGATAATATTTCCATACTGATCTTTATGCTGCATGGTCCGTAACGAACCCAGCGTCGACTGCTCGAGAGCAACCAAATCTGAGGGAACGAGTCAGTTTGTATGCTTGTAGAAAGTAAATTTTGCAAACTGGAGGCAGCATAATGAGAATGGAAGAATTGGGCTGTTTTGTTATGGCAGGCCGAAATCCAGGAGTGCAATAGGCAGAGAGATAAGGGGGGGAGGGTTCCGGATACGTACTAGGTTGCGCTTCGCTCATAGCAACCATGGGATCGGCTTTGGAATGTAGTTGGCGGCGATGTTTCTCGTCTGCGGATTCCGATATCTGGGGCCTTTTGCTGGAATTGCTGGACCGTTGCGACCGATCCGACTTTGCACCGAAACTGAAGCCACGAGATTGCCTGCCAGGAGGCACGGCCGGCTGGGAGGTCGCCATTTTATTTATCACCCCGTCGACCTTAGCGCCTGATAACCAACAGCTGGAGCAGGTTTTCGCAGGACGCTGTCTAAGCTATGGCGCCCGTTGTGGAGCGCAAGCACGATCCGGTGTGGGAACCGCCAAGGAATGTATGATGATCGCGCGCGATGATTCTCGGGCTTTTTGGAGCGTGGTTTCAGAATGCAGCCAGGAGGCAGCCAACGAAACTAAGCAGCGCAGGCAACGTGGGGGGCTGCTTTTTTGATGGATCCACGAGCGGCTATTCACTCGAATGTCTGATGTCTGTCTGTCCCAATATTCTGGGGAAAGTCTAAAGCACCGAAAAGTGTGGAAATGTCGCCAAAAGTTGGGAAGTAGTATCAACTCCGCAATTTGTCTCTACACACAACGATCCACGCCGTTTTAAAAGAATAATCAAAGTGACACCGAAGGTGGGGAAGTGTGGCAGGCTTGAAGCACGGCTGTATGTAGTAGTGTATCGTCCGATCAAATCGTCCGACCAGAGCGTCCGTAGGTTAAGCGATAGTGACTGCAAGAAGGTGGTTCATCCGCAGTGCGCTCAAAGTGATCGACAGTAAGGAAGATGCGATAGCCTCAAGCTAGAGATGCCAAGACAGTAGGTTAGTAGGGAAGAATGTAGGTACTATGTAGGAAAGATGAAGATGGAGATTGGAAAGTAGTAGGAAGCGAGCGAGCAAGCAGGCAAGCAAGAAAGCACCACTCCAGTCGACCGTGCAGATGGAAGAGGAGAAAGTACAAACGAGCGTGTGAAAAAGAAAACTAGCAGGTGGCAGTCGGCAACCAACAAGTACTGAACTACTACTAGAGAGAATCGGGGAGGGCCATTGAGGCCTTTTGACTTGTACGGGCCCGGTGGTATTGACGACAGGCGCCACGCAATGAAGAGGGGAACGCTTGTTCGAACCGATGGATGGGCGATTGCAAGTCGTCCTATCAGCTCGGGTTGGACGATGGCGTTATAGTCAAGAGCCACTCGGCCAGAAGAATCTAGACGATCACCGGATGCCTGGAAACTTTCCCTGATATTTGCCCGTTCACTGTCCGGAGATCCTCTTCCCATGGAACTTTCCTCTTTTTTCTCTTTCAACTTTTTCATCCTCCCGTTTCTCCCCTGGAAGTCAATTCATTCCTAAGAAGCAAATGACAGATCCGCATTGCATTTGAAATTGAATTCGATAAAACATCTTCATCTTCACTTCTCCATCTGTCATACCCAGCATTTCCCCACCAAGTTCAAGGCAGCGGGAAAAGTAAATCCAGTACCAGCTCGACTGGAAATAGAATTACCCTCGTTACCGTATCTTGGCTGGTGAGCACAAAGAAGAATAAAATAACCAAATGCATAAAAATACCGATAGTGTTACGCAGCTTTCCCCTCTTCTCGTTGCCTACTGGCCAATCACTTGTTGTGGGATGGCCCAGCCACCCAGCGAACTCTTTCTGGTTGGCTTCCTTTCCATGGACCATCTGTCACCGTCTCAGGCACCATACCCGAAAGGAAAAGGAAACATAGGTAACTGAAGAACAGAAAAAAAAAATAAGCAAAAGATTTTGGTACTAAGAAAAGCATGGAATTTGTTGTGTGTGTGCGATGACTGCGATGACTTGTTCGACCAGGATGCGCTATCGCAAATCCCATGTCACCAGCCATCTCTTCCCGTCTGATCGTCCTGCTTGCACAATACAATCGGAAGAAATCAAGCAAACTTCAGCCCATCGCACAGATCGGCTGCCGTCGACATCATCTATGCCCAAAAAATGGGCCAGGCAGCCCAGGCAAGCCACTCCGCAGTTCTGATACTTTTACACTATCTTGACCTGTCTTTTCACTTCTGGGTGGATTATCCCGGCCGTTGATTTCCTATTTTAACTCGGAATACACCAAAATGGTTTAGTTGGTGGTAAGACTGGCCGGTACGGCCTGATACGAGAATACGACTTTGAATCTCACCCACCGAGACGGTGGCATATCACTACGTACTCTTAAAATCTTTATCCAGATTCTCTCTAGTTGCACCAGGGAAGCGCACCTTCTGCTATCCGTGGCCTTCCAATTGGCCCACCAGCACTGGCAGAATGAAACCTGGAATATGTCTGCCTGTCTCAATTGCCCCTCCCTCTGCTGAGCGGCGGCGTTACATGTCTGACTATGGCGGTCGTTCCAGTCCAATCCCATCCATCCAGTCCGCCAGACTGAGACAACTAACCGCCCTTTTCAGGTTGGCAGTCGCTCTTGGCTCTGCACACCTGGCAGGCTCATACTTAGGCCTGCAGACTTACAGGAATTAAAAATAGCCCATGCATCCCCGATCTTAAGAAGATCGATGCATACGCGCTTGAATGTTTCTGGAATTATTTAATCGACTTAGCGTCGCACACGTTGCGATCAAGCAAGGTACCTCCAGCAAGGAACAATACGCAAAGGAGGATCTTGGCTCGAACTCGCGCAAGTGCAAGCAACCTGTAAGCCAACCTCTTAGTAACCTACAATCTACTCCATACTATGTAAGAATTCTATCATATCGGCCGAGGCGATCTGTCGATCCCCATCAGTTCTCGTAAGTGGGTCATTGGGGGCGGGGATGGCGCCTACTTTAATTACTGTTAATTCGGGATCGTGACAGAATCTCCATGCAAGGAGTTTACCCTTCCAGAACTTCCCTCATTCAGCCTTATTGACCGCGCTGCGGAGATAGCTCGCGCAATTTAATGCTAAGCTTTTGATATCATATTCAAGGGCCCAGAGGCATCCTGTGACGTCCTTCATTTGTTGAAATACCCCTAATTTGACAGAACCCAACCGTGACCCGGATATATATCGTGCGGTGGGTGCATTCCAGAACGAGTCAAAAATAACTTCAATGGTTTGACCAGACCAATTACGACTACAAGCTGGGTCCTGAGAATGCTATCGGCATACTGACATGCTAATAATCTAAGTACAATGGACATCTTTGCTAGAGATCGTTCATGTTTTTGCATGGATGCCAGTCATCCCAGCCAGCATTAGCGTTATCTGATCAATTAGCATGAGACCGCTGTTTCACCATTACTTTTGACTACACACAATGCATTCTGTGACATACCCCAATCTGAGCACAAATTGAGGCTAGACTCTTTCAAGCTCAGCCAAGCCATATACAGTTCAATAGAAGAATGCAGAATTTATACAGATCATAATGTCCCCTCGTCATCAGCATATGAGACTTGACCTACTTTTTAACTATATATATAACACAATCATCAGTAGCGGTCACAGGGGCTGCCATAGTCCTACTCTCCTTCGAATTGGCATAATATCATGCTCCTATCCATATCTGATTCCGTTACACGTGGGAAATAGTATTTTAGTTCACCTAGAGACCTGCAGCTGTCCTACGCAAGATACCATCCCCCAAAAAAACATGTCCACATATGATCGCTCCCCTTATAGCAGTTACAACTCTACACTAGCATTCTTAAGCTACTATTATATTAGTATATGCATATTGCTCCAAGATTATGCCCTCGCAGTTCATTGCATGCTAGCATGAATCCCTACTACCCATACCGCCCAGCTTTTCATTTAGAATATATATCACCACTAGTACCAGTACTCGCACTTTACTTAGTGGCACTAAACCCCAACTCACCCCTCCCATCGATACCATCCATAGTGCATTAAGGCTTATAAAAATATCAAATGAAAAATAGCTAGGACTGAGAAACCGAACAGCCAGATTTTCAGTTTATCACAGCAGCCCCAGCTACTACTGAAGACTACTATTGGCGAAAGCAGCCCGACACTCAAAAACATTGACAGTTGGCTACCAGCAGATACTCTATGATATATCTATTCAATTCTACAGGACAAACCGGTGTATTCATGGCTATATTCTTAGTATGCCTGATGAGTGTGATTTGAAAATATGTCTCACCTCTCTATCCTTTGTGTATATTAATGCAAAACACCTTTTTAGCCTGGCTCTCCATATACATAATGCCTACTACTAGTAGCAGCATAGATAATGTCCTTTTTAGTATCGTTCAATGAGGAGACAATACGGCTCTGGCTATGGCGAGGCTGACTGCGATTTAATGTCTCCGTTCGATTACTTTTGACATTACTATGTAGTTTGGAGGACACCTTACATATGTGGACTTAGTATATGTATAGAACTCAATGTGACAGCTAGCTTAAAATTGATAGTACCATGGGGAGAAGTGAAAAGCATGCATTGCCACATTTGAAGAAACAATATAGATTGACGCATAGCACTCCGTGTCGGTCATCACTATCAATCACGGGTGGGGTCTACGATGACAGGTGTGGGTATTCATGCTCCGGAGATCTGATGCTTATTACGTATGGTTGTTGGCAGTTGGCTATTTGAGGAGCAGATGTCCAACGGTGCAGAGCTAGCGCTAGATGAATTAATATGGCGGGGAAGATTTCGAAATCGAATCATTACGTCGATATTGGGGATAGCCAGGGTTTGCTGTCGCAGTTGTCGCTTTGGGTTAAATATCGCTTATTGTCGACTTGAAGACACAGTTCCATAAGGATTGGCGACCGGACTACCATCCACCTCGCTCACACTATTCCCCAGAGAAAAGCAATTGTACCGATATGTTGAAATGGTATGGATTGTGGTTTATGAGCATCAGATACACGGGGAGCCATGTTGTCGGCCCAAAAGGTACAGCATGCTTGGCCGGTTTGAATATAGAGTATAAAAAAACCAGGGATATCAAGCTCGTCCGTTGCCTTTAGGGGGGAAAAGGGCTGACAATAACCATGCTGAAAAAAAGAAGATAAGAGTTCTTTTATTTTAATTCGTAGGGCTGACCGGCCCTGCCTCTCCCACGAACATTATCAACCCGCCAACTCCATCTCAACATTCGGCTCATTCCGTCGACTCCTTGCCCGACCGTCTGCGCGTAGAATCCGGAGTTGCCAACTAACGTAACAAAAGGGGCGTCATTTAGATGTTGGAGGGGTACAGCATAACACGGACGGTAGCACCGAAGGTCTTGGGGGGGAGGTTGTGGCGGAACTGAGCACGGACAACACCGGAGTTACCTGTTCATAGAGGAAAGGATTGTTAGTTTTCCGAACGTTCGCGGTTCCAGCAATCACCGATAACATATAGATAAATATATATTCCGTGGCAATCGTCGCGCAATGGAGCTGTGCATCACATACCGTGGGGACGGGTAACCTTGCCCCAGATGACCCGGATGTTGGAGCCCCGGACCTCACGCTTGGCCCGGTAGACGAAAGCAACCTTCTTGCCCAGGTAGAAGCTGTAAAAAAATCCCGTCTTAGCTGTGTGTTCTGATATTTCGATCCCGGACCCATTCGCTACTCACTTTGCGGCCTCAGTGCTCTCAACACCGTCGATCTTGATCAGACTAGATAACCCATGTGTCAGATTCCCTTGTTCCTATATATCGATATCGGTGCGGATCGCAAGTACCTGGTGTTGGGGTTGACGGTACGCTTGGAGCGCTGGTAGCTCACGTGGCGACCCCTGTAGAAAGAATTCGTATTAACCGGTCTGTTCTCGTTGCATTCCATCGCTTGGCCCGTATCTCTGATGTCCCGACATGGATCTTGATATTTTTGATATTCATATCCGGAATGTGCGCAAATTCGACGGCGGACGGTTTGTGGTGAACTTACTTGACATAGACTATAATTCGCAAAAAATATTCAGTTAGCATTTCACTCAGCATTTTGCCCAATATGCGCCCGCATATCCCCATCTATCCTTCTCCATCCCCATATTCCAACCATCGCGCACACATATCTGATATCCGGAAAATGATGGCACTCACGTCTGTGACCTTGTTCCGAAGGCATTCTGACGGCGTTTCTCTGAGCAGCAGCGGGCAACGCAAAAAGTCGAAGGAAGGGAGGTATGACCCGCAAAAGTCGTCCGGGTTGTCGTGGTTGTCGTCGCTTCGATAGGGTAACGGGACAACGCACAAGGCTCACAAATTGCGAGGTGTGTTCGGTGCGGCTCGCCCTAACCCCAAACGGGACGCTTAGCGAGCCGGACCACCCCAGGGCAAGCCGAAGTCCCGTGATGGGGAAGAGTTGCAGACCGCCTACGGGACACTAAACCGTCTTGGGATCGTCACCGGATAAATAGCTTCTCCATGCATCCGAGATAGATCATCATCGATTGCAGACCTTTGGGGCTCCTCCATCCCAACCCACCCCACCTGGCCAATTTTGCCGTCCGGGCTACTGTAGTCCGAAGACTCCTGGCTACCCGCCGGTCCCTCTGCAGCAGCGGAGAGAGCTTTTGGCTAGAGCGCCCCAAGCTGACAAAACAGCTTGCGGGTTTCTTTCCACCCATGACGGCAACTGCCCCATCACCCTTGATCTTGATAAGGGATTGGCCTCCTATCGCCGGGGTGGCGGCCTGTTGCAGGAGCTCCCCGTTTAATGGACAAGGAGTTTATCTTGTGACTTTCGAGTAAGCGTGAAGTAGCTGCATGACAGCATGGCGCTTAAACTACCTCTTACAGGGTAGTGCAGCAAAGTTGTACGGGTGTAAGACTGGATGTATATAACGGGGGAGGATGACTCCTCCAGAAGCGATCAGACCGGGATACATATTTGGAAATCAAGCGTCCCCTCCAGCCCCACCAGGAAGTCGGCAACGAACCTGACATGATGTTTCTCTCCTGAGGGGGGACCCCATAGAGCACGCAATACCATCAATGCCTCTATTTTCTTTTCAAGAAAGAAAGAGGGGTAAAATATTGATGGGGGTGGTACCAAGGGGAAATGGTGACGACAGTAATGTGCCATCGATACGAGGGTTCTGGTGTCGTGGGAATAAGCAACAATAGGCAGTGCATGCTGAGAACAATACTCCGTAGATACTCCAGCCCCCCCGTTTCGGGATCGCACCCGTTAACTCCGGACTTGACTGGGCCGAAAGTTCGGTTTGATACATGGTCGCTGCGCTTACTTCACGGGAAAATAGAATCCGTATCGTCCTTCCAGATGACAAATTGGCCGATCCAACCCCACGAAGCTGGTCACCGGAGACGCGGATTCAGGAGTCTTTCCACTAGACTGGTGTGATTGTTCTGGCGCGATCGCTGCTATTCATCCTGTGGAATAGTCCGAAATCGCTCCATTATTTTGAGATCTTGTCTGGGTCACACCCTGGAAATCTGCGCAACGGTTCTCTTGCTTCACCTATTGTAGTTGAAAGTGGATTAGTGCTAAAGTAGATTGACACTGCATTACTTACGGAGCCAACCTTGGAAAGGTGATCTAAATTCTAATAAATGGGTGCTATGACCGGAATGCATGGAACTATCGTTATCACAAAGAAGCCAGGTCCTGAGCTGACTGACCTACCTGCATGAATGGGCTGGGGGCTGCTCCACAATTTGCCAGTAAACTCGAGGTGCGCGTGCCCCGCGCATATACCAATGTAGTACAGCGTCAGACCGCAAGAAACTCGGCACCTTTACATTTGCGGCTTTCCCTTTGTCTACAATTCAAGAGGAATGAAAATGTCAGATCAGGGTCGGAGGGTTATTATTACTGGGATAAGCTGACGCGGGGGGTGGTTCCGCATGCAACAGTAAGGTGTACCTTAAGATGGGCATCATCCGTTCCATGTGTGGTTCTCAGTGGAGCTGGGAGGAGATTTACAGCGGACCTGGCTCGGATAAATCAGTCCGTCTAAAAGAGAAGGGGCTGTTAGTCTAAACGATGATGTTTCTGAGGGACAGATAGAGTAAGTCAAGTGGGGGATGCTTCATGGTAAGTATTGATTTTAAAGATATCGAGATATGCAAGTGGTAGATAATAGAGAAGGGAGTCATCGCGTTACCTAGCGATGATATAAGAGACGGATTGCCACAACGGCTTCGGGGGAGAGAAAAAAAGAGAGAGAGAGAGCAGTATGAGTGGGAACGGAGGACCTGACAATTAGGGGAAGAATGGATGCTAGGGATAAAAAAGGAAGCATTTCCCGGAGTAATCATACCAAGGAAATACTGAAGGAGTTAATTATCTACTACTCCGTGGCGGGCGAGTAAGTAGTGTCTGAGTGATGTAAAATAACCCCGAATAATAGAATTGGATAACAACTTTACCTACTCACTACTACTAACTCACGGGGTCCCGCGGCAGTAATCGACGTAGTGGAAGAACCCAAGCCGGGCTTCCCAGTAACAAAGTAGTAACAAAGCTGCCCCACCCGGGCTCACTCACTTTTGCCCACCCTGCAGCGAAGCAGCTCCTCTCTCCTCGACGAGAGGCCCTCCTCCGGTCTTAAAAAGTACTTGCTCCGCCGGAACTGTTGGGATTTTTCCAACAAACCTCTCTGTCCTTGCTGTCTCCCTGTATCCTCTTTATTTCCTCTCCTCCGTCTTCCACCGATCTCTCACATTCCCTTCCCATCTCGTGGTTGTTTCACACATCAATAAAATATGGCCAGCACAATAGCACGTACTGAGGAACGCCAGAATGCTGGGTGAGTTTTGCGGTCTCCCCTCTCTGACATCACACCCCTCCTCCCTCCCACTCCCGTCCCTCCTGCCCGCCGCCCAGACGTGAGGATTCACCACCTACTTCTCTCCATAACAAGCCGGTCGCCCAACATTCACTGGCAGGCTTCCCGCTTTCCGTTGTTCTTCAATTCGTCACCAGGATTACTCCTTTGGTCTTGACGATAGGAATTTCCTTCTGACTCACCACCAACCTCACTGCCCCTCCCGGCTGTAGCGGACTGCGGGCACCGACCTGCATTATCGATCTACACACAATCCCTTGTGGCACTATAATCGTCAAGCTATAGTCTAGCTAACATGGATGTTTTACGTAGCACCATGGAACTCAAAGATGACACTGTCATCATAGTATTGGGTGCCTCCGGAGATCTTGCAAAGAAGAAGACCGTCAGTGACGACCCCCCTATTCATGTCGACCGCATAGGAAGCTAACTTCTTACAGTTCCCGGCACTTTTCGGCCTTGTATGTCCACTTACAGATCCAATTGCAGTTTGACTCACACCAGTATGGTTACTGATTGCGCTTCCAGTATCGCAACAAGTTCCTCCCCAAGGGTATCAAGATCGTCGGATATGCCCGGACAAACATGGACCATGAGGAGTACCTGAGGCGTGTGCGCTCATACATCAAGACCCCCACCAAGGAAATCGAAGAGCAGCTGGACAGCTTCTGCCAGCTCTGCACTTACATCTCCGGTCAATACGACAAGGATGACTCGTTCATCAACCTCAACAAGCACCTCGAGGAGATTGAGAAGGGCCAGAAGGAGCAGAACAGAATCTACTACATGGCCCTCCCCCCTAGCGTTTTCACCACCGTTTCCGACCAACTCAAGCGCAACTGCTACCCCAAGAACGGCGTTGCTCGTATCATCGTGAGTCAATTCTGAGCTGATATCACTCTGCAATTGGCCATTGTTCTTACTCGCTTGTTTTCCTATTTCACAGGTAGAGAAGCCTTTCGGCAAGGACCTTCAGAGCTCGCGCGATCTCCAAAAGGCTCTGGAGCCTAACTGGAAGGAAGAGGAGATCTTCCGTATCGACCACTACCTGGGTAAGGAGATGGTCAAGAACATCCTTATCATGCGCTTCGGAAACGAATTCTTCAACGCCACCTGGAACCGCCACCACATCGATAACGTTCAGGTACGACCTTGCGCTGTCTAGTTGACTGTCTGATTATTGGCTAAATTGTCGCCTTTATGAATTAGATCACATTCAAGGAGCCCTTCGGTACCGAGGGACGTGGTGGTTACTTTGATGAGTTCGGCATCATCCGTGATGTCATGCAGAACCGTACGTTCGAGTCCTCATTCGGAATACCTGTCATGATACTGATCGCATGATACTGATCAAAAACTCTCTCAGACCTTCTCCAGGTGTTGACGCTGCTCGCTATGGAGCGCCCCATTTCCTTTTCCGCTGAGGACATCCGTGACGAGAAGGTACAGTGTGCGATTGGCTATCAGTTGAGCGAGGTTACTAATACTCAACTAGGTTCGTGTCCTGCGTGCGATGGACGCCATTGAGCCCAAGAACGTCATCATTGGCCAGTACGGAAAGTCTCTTGATGGCAGCAAGCCCGCCTACAAGGAGGATGAGACCGTTCCCCAGGATTCCCGCTGCCCCACCTTCTGCGCTATGGTCGCCTACATCAAGAACGAGAGGTGGGACGGTGTTCCCTTCATCATGAAGGCTGGCAAGGGTATGTATCTCTTTCCAAGCGATCTTAGCAACGGCGGGTATATTAACTATTCGCAGCCTTGAACGAGCAGAAGACCGAGATCCGCATCCAGTTCCGTGACGTTACCTCCGGTATCTTCAAGGACATCCCCCGTAACGAGCTCGTTATCCGCGTCCAGCCCAACGAGTCCGTGTACATCAAGATGAACTCCAAGCTGCCTGGCCTGTCCATGCAGACGGTTGTGACTGAGCTCGACCTCACCTACCGCCGCCGCTTCTCCGACCTCAAGATCCCCGAGGCCTACGAGTCTCTGATCCTGGATGCTCTGAAGGGCGACCACTCCAACTTCGTCCGTGACGATGAGCTGGATGCCAGCTGGAGGATCTTCACCCCTCTCTTGCACTACCTGGATGACAACAAGGAGATCATCCCCATGGAATACCCCTACGGTACGTGCACATTTTGAAATCTATAAAACCGCTTACATGCTGACGAACGGCGTGCGCAGGCTCCCGCGGACCCGCTGTCCTTGATGACTTCACCGCGTCCTTCGGCTACAAGTTCAGCGATGCTGCTGGCTACCAGTGGCCCTTGACTTCCACCCCCAACCGCCTGTAGATAAGGGCGGTCGGCGTGTTACGATGGATGAAGATGAAAAACAAAAAAAGAAAGTGCCACAAAAAGGCTAAAAAAAGATGTTAATGCGATTGATTTTCGGTCGAAAATCATGGTATGACGGGGCATCTGGGATGATATGACAGAAATGAAGCACTCGGGACTATTTATCGGTCGGCTGGGCAATGACTGGAGTTATCTATTCGCAACCCCTTTTTAGAAACGAATGCAGAGAACGTAACGAACCACCCCCGGTCGGTTGGGACCGCCGCTGTCTTCACCGGAAGCTGGAAGTAGTCGCGTGACAGTAGCAAGACGGTACCTGTATTATTGACCCTTGCCTGGTGCCTTAGTCCCTTGTGTGCCTCGTAGAATTTAGGTTAGAAAGAAAGGTTAGAAAAGACAGTCTAACCCATAGACTTCCCCAGTTTCAGATTCGTTTTAATCCCCCGACCTTGCTTTAGGTTGTTCACCACCCGCTATTAATAAACACAAGTACCGTCGCGGTGGTGGGTCTCAGCGTGGCCGGTGCCGATAAGACGAGGTACCTGACGGGCCGGGGGCCCGCATGCGTACGCTTTTGGTGGGCTCAGCCCGGCCTCGCCTGTCGTCTGTCTGCCCATCCCTCCTCTTTTCTTCCCATCCCTTCTTCTGACCGGTCGTGATTCCCTTCTGCTTCGCTTCGAACGTTATTTGTCGCTCTCCCTGGTCGCGAAATCCTATATTAACTCCAGTATCGCCCTTTTCCCCAACGACATCGGACCTTTGGCGGATCGCGGACCCTGTTCCATCCTCGCAGCTATTTTTATCCCCAACGAACTGTGCGACGACTGCCTACGACCCATCACGCATTTGCCTCGTCCTTCTGCGTCGGATCTCACAAGTCAGCTTCCGTATCGTTCTAGCATCGAATCTACTCCATCCGAGGATCGATTAGCTACATTTGCACGTGTTTTGGCCTGATCGCAGGCTCAAATTCGAGGCGAACCCCCGCGGTTCATGGAAAGCATACAAGAATTGTGAAAAAGGGCCAAGTGCATGCGGGCATTCGAACACTAAGAATGCCACAAGCTGCAAGATGGGTGGGCACACCCTCTATCAAGGGACGAAGGGAGTGGGTGCGCATGGTGCTGTTAACCTTTAGTTTGTTGGGCTTACAGTATGTATTCTTCCTCCCCTCATTTTCATTCCTCCGACAATGTTTTTTTCGGCTCCTCTCAGTCGGAAGACAATCACCATTACGAATGCGCATAAAAGACTGACTTGCTTCTCGTCAACAGGTTCACCTGGGGCATTGAAATGACTTGTATGGGCGTTGCTGGCTCGTGTCTACTTGCTCTATGTTTCTGACTTGCAGTGCAGATTGTACCCCGTACCTGCTCCAACTGGGCCTCACAAAATCCAAGACCTCGCTTGTGTGGATCGCCGGCCCTCTTTCTGGCTTGATTATCCAGCCACTCATCGGTGTCATTGCTGACCGATCTCGATCCAAATGGGGGCGACGCAGGCCTTTCATGATCGTCGGCTCGTTCGTCGTCGCAACGTGCCTGCTTGTTCTTGGCTGGACTACTGAGATCGTCAATACTTTTGTCAAGGATGCGGAAAAGGTACTTGATAGCATGCGAATGGCCTTCTTGACGTCCTTCCTACTCAGGCGCTTACTGAAATCGTCTATTACCCCAGGCCAGAAACGTCACCATCGCGCTAGCAGTTCTGAGTATTTACGCTGTGGACTTTGCTATTAACGTTGGTAAGTCTGCACCAGCCATGATATTTGAATGCCCAATCTAACCAAAACGCAGTCCAAGCGTGTTGTCGCAGCTTGATTGTCGACACATTACCTATTCCGCTGCAGCAGACTGGATCAGCATGGGGTATGCCTCTTCCGCACCTGACTACAAAGTATAGCAGCTAAGAGTGTATAGCAACTCGGATGACCGCAATCGGCCAGCTCATTGGATATGTCATTGGATCCATTGATACTGTCAGCATATTTGGCGCCATAATCGGCGACACGCAGTTCAAGCAGATGACTGTCATTGCAGCAATGTCATTGGTCGGTGCTGTCTTCGTTACCTCTTACGCAGTCAAGGAGCGGGTTTTAGTCACTGCGAGGTAAGATCATGAAAATGCGATCTATACATCATGCCAAATACTGACACACCGACAGAGACTCCGATGACAAGGCTGGGACGCTGCAGGTCATTTCTCAACTTGTCAAGACCACAATGGATCTGCCACCGCGTATTCAGGCCATCTGCTGGGCGCAATTCTGGGCATGGATTGGTACTGTGCCATTATACTCTCAACCAACTTTCCAGGAAGAATGTACTAACCGAATAATCCGCAGGCTGGTTCCCCTTTCTCTTCTACAGCACCACCTGGGTCGGGGAAACATACTTTCGATACGAAGTCCCCAAAGGCGCAACACAACCAGCCGATATGCTTGGAGAAGTCGGTCGAGTGGGCAGTTTATCGCTAGTCGTCTTTTCCTCCATGACCTTCATCGGCTCCGTTCTTCTACCATTCTGCGTTCAACCACCAGACAGCAAACGTCCCAGGTTCACGCCGCGCCCACCCCCAGGCCTCGCCTCACTGCTTAAGACAGTAATGGGCATCCGCCCCGATCTCCAAACAACCTGGCTGATCTCCCACGTCATGTTCGCCGCGACCATGATCTTCGCACCTTTCGCCCGCTCCCGCGCCGTCGCAACCTTCCTCGTCGCCCTGTGTGGCATCCCCTGGGCCGTCACCTGCTGGGCCCCTTTCACATTCATGGGCATAGAAATCAACAAACTCGCCATGAACCCCTCCCAATCCTCCCGCTCCTCCGGCGTAACAATGATCACCTCCTCCAGCCTCCTCTCCGGCGGCCCCACCACCTACAGTGACCGCACCAACGACACAGAAATGGACGTCCTCCGCCTCAACCACCACGACCCAGACAGCGACAGCGACATCGAAGACGGCGTCTCCAACACCCCATCCACCGGCGAACTCGCCGGTATCTACCTAGGCGTACTAAACGTCTATACAACCCTCCCGCAATTCCTCGGTACCTTCATCAGCTGGATTGTCTTCAGTGTTCTCGAGCCCGGCAGCACGAAACGCGACGACACAGCCCAGGACTCCCAATGGATGAATCTAGATAAAAGCACCCCGAACGCTATCTCCATCTGCTTATTCATCGGCGCATTGAGTGCTATTGTCGCTGTTGAAGCAACGCGACGCATGCGATACACTATATAGAGTGATCGTTTTGTTTGTTCTTCCGTCGTTTCCTTCCCTTTGGGCATGACTAGAGGGATAGATTTTGCACCTTCATCTACTTTGTTTTCCTTCAGCACTTCTAAAGCGGATCATCGTCTCATTTACACGACTCTGATGATGTTTTCATACTGTTCTACTATTATTCGATTCCTATTCTACACTTTCGATACCCTGATACTCAAACCAAGTGGGTTAATACGTTGGAAACTGGTCTGCTGTGTGCACTATATCTAGTACTGCTCTTTTGGGTAAGAAGAAAGTACAACATACCAGTTCCCATACGTTGACTGCATTGTTTGATTAGCGTGACCTGACCTGACATGCATGCATGGTTTCTTTGCTTTTGTTTATTTTCCTGTTTTTTTGTATGATGAGAACCCCCGAGTTACAGTGCATATACATGCGTATGCCGGTGCGCATGTATGGTGCTGTGGTATAAGGGAGGGAAAAATTAAAATAATGGGTTGGACGATATATGCACATGTACTTAATAGATAATTAACTTTCATTGGATAAACTTACTCTAATTTTGTTCTTTTATTTCCGCTTTTGTCAAGTGGTTTGATCTAGTTTCCCTTCATCAAGCCATGGATAACCCAGGATAGTTCAAATGTTCAATACTTCTGGGCGCTTATCTGCTACTCTAGGGATATATACTGGATAATAAAAACCAGATCACTAAAATCAGGTTCACTATCACAATGAAGAAGCTGAATACATAGCATAGCGAGAGAACGGCCGAGGTATATTGGATATATTGCAGAAGACACAACAACAGTCCAACGAACTCAACAGTAATTGTTTGAATAAATCACAGGCAGGCACAACAAGGAGGGGAATATAACAACAAGAAAGCAGAGAAGAAGCAGTATCAAACAAACTTGATTAAGAAGACAACTTGCTACCATTACCGATATCCCCGCTTAACAGGAACCGGCAGCAGGCACAAGAGGAACGGAAATGGGAATGTAAAGTGGACAATCATGCGTAGAACGGCATCACGGCGTATGTCTGTCATGCGCGGCTTGCAATATCTTCAGACCTTGTTGCCATGGGACCGGGCTCAGTCAGCAAGATGGCAGGCAGGATGGACCTGGACGCGAAGGGGTAGGTGAAAATACATTAAATGGCGTATAAACATCGGGGGTCAAATACAGTGGTATATGGGTGATAGCGACAGTATACTCAAATGGTCAGAAACGACAGTAGCGAAAGTAAAGTGATTAGCAGAGAAAACTGGAGCTAGAGCTTCAAGGCTTGCTTGCAGCTTGCATGTTGCCAGTGAGTTCAGCGACTCTGGCCTTGATACGGGCAGCACGGGATTCGAAGCCTAATGGGTTTCCACGTTAGAGCCATGATTATATATCTTTGTAGCAGAACTAATTCACTTACTCTCTTCTTCACTGGTGTTGTCATCGTCGCTATCATCAGCATGCGACTCGACTTGAGCTGCCCTCGCCGCGGCGTTCTGGCGGATCTGGGCCCAGCGGTCAAAGGATGTGTTCATCGGCGGAGGGGAAGGACTGCGCTCATCCTGTGGCTCAACAGAGACCCGATCGGTCGCAGAGTGAAACGATGCAGGCTTCTCAGGGAATCGTTCAGAAACAGGAGAGTCGCTAGGGACAAAAGCAGGCTGCTCGACCAGGGGTCCCTGGTCAAACCTAGAGAATTCTTGATCGGCCGCTGCGCGTTCTCTGGTATCAATGCGCGAAAGAGCGTCATATTCGGCTTGACGGCGGATCTGAGGCTCATCGCTGTGGGGAACAGGGGGTTTGAGTGCATCCATAGAAACCGTGGGTTCAGTGGGCTCGGGGGCTTTCTCTTCCGCAGCAGGCTCGGCAGGCTTGGGACTCTCGACAGGCTTAGGTGCCTCGACAGGGACTGTAATGGGCACAGGCTTCTTTTTCAGCGTAGGCTTGCCA